GACGGTTGCAATCACATAGTCACCCGGAAGCACAACATCTCTAACACGGAATTGCTGAAACAGTTTTGAGGTAGTTACGCAACTTGAGATAAAAGAACCTAATCTTCCAAGAAGGTAAACAAAAAGTGGTAAAAGTTCAAGATTTAGAAAGGTTTTAAGCTGTTGAAGGAGGTTTCATGGTACCCATGGGGTAAATGCGCATTATGCAGTTAGCAGTTCCGGATTCAAGTATGATGTGCAATTAAACGTGCAAAGTACATTTCTAAGCAATGCACGAAAGTGCAGCTCGTGTATGCTTTTGTCCGATCGCTAAGTATAAAGACAAACCAGAAATAAGAAGTTGCATGAAAGGTAACTCACATCCAATTTCATGTCGGTTCGCATGTCTTCCTTCCTGATATAAGCAGTGAATGTAGCACCTGGTTGTAGATTCGTTTCTTGTATACGGAATACGCTGCATTTTGCTGATCTAAACATAACATCTTCCTGGAAATCTCAATCGTTGAGTTATAAATTACTTACTTATCACCTATTTCAACTACTTTCGCAGTGACGAGAGCACCAATGAATGGGGCATGATATGTAAATGAACCATCGAAGTTGAGGACCTCTACGAGCCTTGTAGGCTTGCTGGCCTGGAAAGGTGATGGCATAGCAGATATGACAAGTGAAACTAAGATTAAACTTTTTAAATTGATACTGAATAAGAAATGTACATATGTCAAAAGATGTATGCAGAGAAGGAAAGAAATTTGTTTGTTTTCCTTTAAAAGGATAATATTGCAATTTCAATTCTTGCTATAGAAGCAAAATTCAGAATTTTGTGTTGAAACCTGTTTTGATGTCTAAACGCAATGATTAAAGGGACTTACACCAGGCATTGTTTGTTCCTTGACAAAAACGTAACCGATACGTGCCGCTCGTATAAAACCCTTTAGTTCATACACTCCTCGTCCACATTCATATCCGTCTCTGTAATTTTGCAAACTCTATTGAACCAAATAGAAGCGAGCCGAACCGAACATGCTTATAGCAGGATAAATTGACACAGAACTAAAGAAAGAAAATAATGAGGCATTTTTTAATTGAAAAAAAAGAA